AGAAGAACAGCAGAAGGCAGTAACGTGTCCTGCACTGTTTGATTCCACTGGACAGTGAAGACTCCTCCAAAGCTGAGGTTTTTTGTATGTGTGTAAACTCTTATAAATACAAGTGGTTTACATACAAACCACAATAATTAAATGACAACAAAAGAAGGATCCACAGAAGAGAAAGAGAAAGTAAATTACTGACGTGTATTAAGATCATATCATAGCACTCCTTTACAGTTGGGTTACACCAATGTTGGTCGAACGTCAATGGTTTCTGGCACAGTGGGAGCATTCCTGCTATGCTGGAGTTCCTTTTAAACTTAGGTTTTTAACAGCAGAGAACAACCTCACTACTGTATGGGTGAAGCAGACCAGAGCCTGTTGCAACCGCTCATCAACAAGTCCTGCACACTGGGCCTCTGTGGCCAGGAGCTACACTAGAAAAGCTGAAATCAGGCTTTTGACTGAAATCAACGAGGCATGTACTCTTAAAGAGTCTCTCAAACAGAATGAATCTCAAATGGTGCAAGAGATCCGTATGCATTTATCTACTTATTCTTTTCAATGCTTATTTAAGTTCTTTCAGAGTAATAATGCGCATGCTTGGTCAAGTACTGAATCTTGTTATGATGCACCAGTTGAGTTTATTCTGACACCTTCCATGCACTCATTTGTTTTCTGCTGAGCTCAGTGAGCTGTTAAATAAAAATGACTGGGATTAAAATAAAAACAGTGTTACATGAGCAAAATATATAAAAACAACTTAGGACAGAAAAGTAAAGACTTGCACTGAAGAATGTGCTTACTTAAACAGATAATGCAAAATAGTGGAGCAGGTTTAGCTCAGTGGGTGAGCAGAAGACCATATGCCACATGACTAGAATGCAGCAGCATCGGTTTGAGTCTGACCAGTGGCCCTTTGCTGGGCATCTTCCCTTTCTCTCTTTCTCCCCACTTTCCTGTCTGTCTTCACTACTCTACTATCAATAAGGCAAAAATCCCCCCAAAAGCATCTGTAAAATAATATAGGTAATAATTTAAATGTAAAATGAATGCAGTTACTGTGGTATGATATGGCAAAGACTCTGCATCTCTAAATCTCTGTGGCGATGATGTAGATGTTGCTTGTCCAGTGAAAGATTCACAGGGTGGTCAGGATCCATCAACTATCCATAACCATTTACCACAGCCACAGTCATTTGGATGAGCTCTAAACTAGTTGAGTAACATAAGCAGCACGCTGATTTATTTCAAACTGTGGCACAAGTGAAGGACTACAGTTTTGGGGTGTAACATGGGTTTTGTTTTGTTGGTGAAGGTGACCACACAACATGTCTAAACCTGTGTGCACTGTTTGCACCTAAAAGGGTTTGGCTAAGAAGGAAAACACTCCAAAGTGCAAGTTTGCCATCAATATCAGCACATCATCAGCACACTCATGTGTCACCGTCATCAAGTCCCTTGCGGAAAAAAAAAAACTATGGAAAAAGGCATGCATGTCCCAGTAAATTCAATTTAGGCTAATCAACTAGTCTGAAAATAAGAAGACATCAGAGTGTGGCGTCTTTTTCTGACATCTACACACCTGCAGTGAATGTGGTTAGATTGCACCACCAACATTAATCTAGATTACAATATGGACAACCCAAGAGGAACCATAGGCAGAGCCTCAGGTAGTGATGGCTTCATAACCCAATAGTGAAGTGGTGTGAAATTCCAGAAAGGATAGATACTGTGCAACTTTCTACTAAGAGGACATTTTATGTGTCCTTGCATGGATTTCAAAGTGTTTCTGAACATATGTACAGCTCTAACCTTTAAAAAGAAGAAGAAGAAGAAGAAGAAGAAGAAACCCTTGGCTGTACTGTATTCATGGCATTAAATTTGGTTACCTCCTGCTGTAAAAACAAATCATAGAATCAAACCACTTCCACTTTTTTCACATGTACTCATAAATGAAGGTCTAGTAAAGTAGGAAATGGGAGGATGAGGAGTGAAGAGGGGTCTCATAACCACTTGTGCCTGAGGATTGGAAGGAGAGGAAGGGGGCGGGTGGGCATCCAGCAGACCCAAAACTGTGTCTGGTATTGGATTATAACCTCACAGCTAATTACTCCCAGACTTCTTAGCTCTGCGCCAGAAACTCTGCACAGATACAGTAAGTCAGCACGCTGCCTCTCCACCAAACAAAGAGAGAGACTGGCAGAAGGTCTACTGCAGCCACTCAGTGTGTAATTGATGAGGGACGAGTAAAGAAGGAAAATGAAAAGTTTTATGAGGGGAGACAGGGACAAATATATCGACTTGGAACACTTGTTGATGAACTGTAAGGGTGCACAAGGGGGTGTCGCTGCTTTCCAGATGATGAGATGATCAGCACTTGTTGCACAGTGATTTATTTAAAGTTTGGATCGACTCTGAACATCTGATAAAGCACATCATCAGTCAGCAGGCTGCAGAAAGGAGAAGCGACATGCTCTCCCATGACCAAGTACAGGCTCACTCCTGCCCCCTCCTCACTGCCACAGTCTCACCTCACAGTCTGGACGAGCAGCAACAGCCAGCCAAAACATCTGGCTCTGTTAGAAGAGACTACACTTCTCTCTCAACTGCTCATCGGAAACAATGGTCCTGTCTTTCCCCAGCTGGCAAACAGTCCTAGTTTAGACCAGGCACAGTCCACAGCTTTGTGGCCGCTCAGATACCAGGTAAAAACACACACAACCACCCAAAGCTAAGCAAGGCTGCTACTCATGCTTCTGGCCACAGAAACAAACATACACATCCAAAAGTAGTCCAGCTTCTGCTCAGTCAGCAGGGGCACAGCCAGAAGCCGAGCACCTCAGCCCACCGGGCCTGTTTCTCTTGGATTGCACATGTGTTTTTCTTCCCTACCTCCTCTAAAAACACACAGGTAGCTGGACAAGGATTGTGCACTACAGTCAAAACAGTGGACTCAAAAATACTCCAGGAAAATTGCTTCCTTAGTCTGATTTAAGGTTAAACGGGACAAATATTCCTGCTTTATATGTGGATTTTTGCATGCCTGTGAAAGAGCTTATAATGTATTAAAAGCTCAGCTCTGCTCAGAGATATGCAACAGGACTTTTGAATAAATCCATCCATCGCTGACATCCTTTAACACAAGCCTGTTGGTTCAGCGGGCAACCTATTGCTTCCTGTGACGTATGTGCATTACACATTGTTTTAAAAAAAATCCTTCAGCAGCTTTACATGCACAAATCCTCCAAGCCACTTACTTAACCAATGACTAAAATGTAATTTCTATGCCATAATCCACCCCAATCCTTTCACCAATAATGGGCTTTTTATACACACACACAGAGAGAGAGAGAGAGAGAACCATGGCCAAAAAGTTGGGGATCACTGTGGCTTTATTTGATGCAGCACAATCTTGATCCGGAAGAAGGAATGACGCTAAGCCATGTGGGTAAGGAGGAGAAAGAGGAGGCAGAGGAGGACGAGAAGGAGGGGATCATTTTGTGCTTAGCATGGTGCTGTGCTTGTAAAGCCTCAACCGCTGGCCAAGAGCAGCCGACGCTGCATCACTGCCAGATGTTCAGACGGATTAAACAGCTCCTGATGCCTCTGACAAGCAGTGTGGCCATTAAGTAGGGATGCCTGTATCTTCTGATTATTAAAGTGCAGTTTTCTTTTTCCAATAGCAATGCAAGATTCACAAAAGCTTCCCTTTTATACATGATCCTTAACATTCATTTCTGTCATTTGAATGGCCTGATTTCGGTTAGAGACGGAGAGGTTGTCAAGTTTTTACACATCTGGATGTAAAACAGTATGGAAGATATAAAAAAAAAAAACTGCAATCAAGACTAAACACATTACTTCACAAATCCCATTAAATGGACCAAAAATAAAAGGCATATCGATCTCTGCACTATCATATAAATGAAGAAGTAAGGGAAGAGGCCATCACATGATACTTTGAATGGTATTTAACTCTGAATGAGAAAAGAAATGTTGAAAGAAATATAGAAATAAATAGGTTTAGGGTGATAAACAGGGCGAAATGTTACAAAATTAAAAATAAATACATTTAACAGAGAATAAATTAATGAACTTGAACAGCTGGTGTAGCCAGAAAGGGAACTCCTATCCACTCAAAGAAGTATGGATCAATAAGAGTCCCCCAATAGGTTTGAGAGTCTGAATCTGGTGCAACAAGCGCAAGAAAATATTTTCCATTTCATTTAATTATAATAATAAAGTGGAAGAAAAATTAGAGGCCTTAATTGTGCCCCAAGTCTAAATGCCTTTCCTTTTCTTTTCTTTTTTTTTAATTACTTGATTTGAACCGATCTTCTTATGAGAAGCTATTTCTTTGCAGTGTGGGTGATGACACAGCAGTGGAGGTGGCGCAGCGCCCTCTATAGGCGGAGACAGGAACTAACATCAGCGCTCGTGTGGCCCAGTGAACGCATAGGTGAATAATATCGAGGTCAAATGCATTGAGCATCGTGCAAAACTCACTGCAGTCCATCATTATAACACAGAGCGACATTATTATCTCAAAATTATCACATCACTGTGAGAAAACCGTCAAACAGATCAAAGATAATCGGTGGGGGCTGGCTGTCATGCGCAAAACTGCATATAAATGCACTGATATACACCCAATGGCACCAATGATGTGTTATAACTGAAGCCATTAATCATTTTCTCCCTTTAATATTAATGCAGGCGAACTAGCAGGCTTCAGATCAGGTGCTGGATCCTAATTGGCATGTTGAGCAGGGAAAAAGGGCAGTCAGGTAAAGCCACAGCAAAGGTTATTTGATCACATTTAAAATTAAACTCTAATCTGTCCTAATTAGCAGAGACTGTAGCATCAAAATGACACTTTCCCACATCCAGGGGTTCAAATATATATCCAAACCGATGGCCCCGATTGCCTCTACGGCTGCTGAAGGCAGAACCATCCCAGCCTCCAGCTCAGCCCAGGCTGCCTGGCAGAGGAAACGTAAACTTACCTTGCAGACGCGTTGCGGAGAATCAGTCGCTGCTCGGAAATAATAATCCCGTGTGGCTGTCAGCGGGAATATGGGAGCGAAATCACAGCGGGCTGGATAAACAGAGAGCCGCTGAGCTGTGCTGACTGTACGAGGAGGTTCATTCAGCTGAATGATAGTGGAGAGTGAAGGCACTGACAAGTCGGTCAAAACAGCAGCACCACGCCTCCTGTCTTAAAGTCACCGCACTCTGCCTGCCTGTCTGCCTGCCTATCCGTGTGGGTGTGTGCGTGTGTGAGAGGTGAACACGACCGCATGAAATCATAGCTTGCTCATTACAGGAAAATAATACAAATGCAATAGCATCGTATAATTCTTTTTTTTTTACTCCATATATACTAACTGGACAACATTTCTATGCTCCTGTGAAGCTCTTCATAAAGCACACTAACACAGGCTGTGCAAGAGCCTGGAAAAGGTTGTGTATTGGAGTCTTTTCCTCTACAAAAGCCTCTGATAATATACTTTAGGCCCTTAACGTAAAAGTAGACGTTATGCATATCATTTTAATGTTTCAGCTGGAGACTGCCGAGTAGATTTACAATAGAATATAGATTAGATTATCATTCATCTTAACTGCTAGCCTAATTCAGGGTTGGGGGTTGTCATAGGGCAAGACCCAGCCAACTGAAGGGCTAACACAGAGAGAAAAACAACATTAGAACCACCAATTAACCGAAAACACGCATCTTTTTAGAGAAGCCAGAGTTCTCAGAGAGAACTCGCAAAGACTACAAAAAAGGATCTGCAGCTGGAGTCAAAACCACAACCTTCTTGCTGTGTTGCAGCAGAGCCAAATAGTGTACCACTGTGCCATGGTTTTGCATTTCAAATCTGCAAAGTAAGAAGTAACTAACGCATTGCAATAAATAGCAAGGAATATCAAGTGTGATATTCAGTGGAGTAAAAGTAGAATTTAACACAAGAAATACTTAAAGTACCAGTAAATTATAATAGTACTTGAGTAAATATACAGTATTTAGTTGCAATCCACCATTGGTTACTCCATGCAGTACCACTCTGTCCTTTATACTGTCATACTGAGAAGTATAGTGATGCATGCTTGTTAAACTAAATAACACTGTATTGAGTAATCACAAAGAGCACTTCTGCCATGGTAGAAGGGTAAAGACTCATGGGACTGTTACAGGCTCAGTGACAGAGCAGATGAACGGGGCAGGCAGAGAGAGGGCATTAGGCTCAACTGACTTTGATACTTCGGTTTTTAAAAAATGCTGCCTGCACAACAAATTCAAGCAACATAGCTGAAACAACATCATGAACTAGTACACATAATAACCATAAATGCACAGTACACTCATTGCCAATTTGTTTTGTGAGTTTCAACTGACAGAGCCGATAATTGCCTCTCATTAGTTCCGAACAGAGACGTAAGAGGTAGCCAGCTTTCCAAGGTCTGACATGTCTAGGCCATGCGCTCCAAAATCCAGGATTGTCCTCAGTCATGCTGCTACGATTGGATCAGATGCTCTAATTAGCATGGGCTTGATTTTTATTGATGTTGGCATTTAACTGTTTATAATCCTATCATACAAATTAACTTTATTCATATTTATAAAACTATGTCAGCAGAGTTCAGTTGAGAAAGTACAGTGACCTTTTTCAGCATGCTCAGGTGTCTGGGACCCCTGTCCACAATGCTGACACTGGACTCTTATTGTTTGTCTCCAAATCCTTATTTAATAATTGATACGACTATCAATGAATCACTCAGAGTTGGTGTTCATGTTCAGGGTTGTTGTCCTTACATTATTAAAACCAGCGTTCTTGTCATGGAACACAACAACATTAAGGCTGTATAAAGTATATTAAGCAGAATAATGAAGAACAGGTAGTAAAGAACACTTCTGTATGCAAGCGCAAGGAGTCGTGGACCTGCTAATGTTTAACATGAAATCCTTATTCTCGCAGCGTTTCGATCAGTTATGTTGTGTTTAGACTTTGCTTCTTGGGGCTGTGTAATATGTTTGTGTGGCCAAGAATAGCGCAATGGTTTACCTTTTAACAGTCCACCATGACTAAGATTTCTGTAGCGATTAATGACTCGCAGTCAGTGTTTGTGTTCACGGTTGTCATTCATACATTATTAAAAGTAGTATTCCTGGAGCACTGAAACTGTAACTTTGTTGTCTCAAAATTTAGACAGCAAGTTTGCTTTTTTTTTTTTTTTTAAAGTAAAGCCAACACATTAACTCGTTAATAGTGAATAATTATTTGCACACTGTCATTGATCTCAATAAACATCTAAACAGCCAATATATCTCTCTGCAGGAAGAGAACATTCATGTCACATAACCACAAATCCTAAAATTTATTGTAGAAGATAAGTTCTTCAAACTTACTGCAAATTTCTTGTTTTCCTGTGAATTAAAGCCTAATAAAATTCCACAAATACAAAGCAAAGGTCTTGCCGGAGCAGCTGCTAAGCACTTAATCCTCTGAAATATGAAGAAACAGTATGACTGGCTGTGTTTTGATCTCCTCACAGCCTGTAATCCTTCATTAATTGCAAATTCTGGGCATACACTTTGACCTGGGCTCAAACGTGGACATCAGCACTAATTTATATGTTTGAGGGTGAGAACGAGTCCTGCTGTGGTGTCAGCATGTGAGATAATTCCTCCACATGCAATAAGGAGTGTTAGAATTCATGGTTGTATAATAGATGGAAGCTTTAAAGTTTACCTGTTCTTGTTTTCCTTACTGACTCTGCCCCTTGGCAACCACCATGTAAGAGCAAACAGCTAGAGCTGTCTATTTTAGAAAGTCCATCAGTCAAAGTAACCTCACCCATAACTCAAACCAAACTCCAGAGCCCAGTTGTTATGAAGGATGAAAAGATAAAACATTGGTTTTCTGTACAAGACTGAAAATAGTAAAAGTAAATTTGATCATTTTAGCATGAGAGTCTCTGAGGTAACTTGCGACAGAATGACTTAAAAGGAGATTCAGTTTTTGTGCAAAACTGCATTTCAGTTATTGTGCAAATGTACTGTTTATAATGTTGGGGAAAACCTGCAGTCAGCTGAGACTGAAAAAGTCACTTTGATGATTAAAAACGTTTCTCCTGGTGAAAACACTACGTCCAGATGAACAGAATCAACCTTTTGTGAGATGCAGTTTAGTAAACTTCCTCATTTGGTCCATTTTTCACGTCTGTAGGTTACTTCTTGGTCAGCATCCACACGTCGAAGAAGAAGCAATGCTCCTAATAAAGTTAAATTCCTAATCAAAACTTAAAGAGGTGGGGCTCTTTTGGGAAAAAAAACAACTTTTTTTTAGTACCAAGCTGTAAACAGGTCAGAGAAAAAGTATACGCTAATGGCTTCATTTTTCAGCCCCAAGTTACTAGTTTGTTAGTTAGTCCGGCACTGCGGATCACTGAATTGTAACTATCTCACATAAGAGGATGAATTTGGACATTTTGACATGTCTATGGGGATTGACTCACTTCCGGAGCCACCCTCAAGTGGTCAGTTGAGGTACTGCATTTTTTTTTTTTTTTTCAGGTTTTCACAGTGGCACAGGAGTAAGAGATACCCTAGCAATCATCAGGATAGACATGCTATTTCATGCTGATGTACTACACTGATGCCAGTCTAATCGCAAAATGAACACGGGGGCAGGTGGGGAATGGTTCTTCTCATGCTTTATGTGATAATAAAATTTAAATAACTGAAAGAATAAAAACAGTTCCCAGGAACTTATTTTCTAAATATATCAGCCTGTAGCCAGAACCATTGTGGAAATAAGGTGTCAAACTGAAAGCAGACACTTAGCTAGTACCCGCATTATTTAGCATTCTTTAAATACTGTCATGCTATTAGACTATAACCAGTTTCCTAAGCTCTCAATGCTATTTTACATTGAGTTACGGAACAACTGAGTGCTTTGAGTTGTTGCTATGGAGGTACTGTGCCTTAATTGAAAAACCAAATCCCCTTAAACATTTGTTACACATTAAGAGACAGATTCTTTCTCTTACTGTGTGACTTGAAAATTTTAAAATAGCTTGCACTTGTCTCTATGTATCATCACTTTCTGTCTAGAGCAAAATGTGTCAGCTATTGCTGAAACAAGGGTATACTGTATGTGTTTCAGGAGGAGGAAGCCAGAGTGGAGCTGCCCAGTAGCTCAGTGGCTTGGCCTGTCAAAGCTGGGTTGACATTATCCAGTGAGAGCGAGTGATTCAGGCCGTGGGAGAAAAGCAAGCAAAATGCTTTGATTAATCTCCTCAATTTGGCAAAACGGGAGGAGGTGGTCAAATCTATAATCCACTGAGGATAGAGTATCATAGAAGAGTGAGATTAATGGCAGATAATGATACTCAGTCAGTAACTTTAACCTTAGCTTTTTAACCCAATCCCCCACCTCCCCAAAGTTAGTGAATTGGATTTGGCGACATGTAGAGTTTGGCTTCTAAGTTTAGTGGTGGGTCAGACTTATCTTAACAATCCTATTGTTTGGAATATAAATGTACAACATTTAATATAATATAATAAACCCGCCATGTCATAGTAAACAGTATCTTAAGTGACGCCACCACAAATTAAGTATTTTTCCAGTAAACCTGTCCAAGGCTCAGAGCTGGAGAACAGAGTGGAGAACAGATCCAGACTCAATCGCTGCTGAAGTGGAGCTGAAATACTCCTAAGTATAAATTTGGAAGGCATGACGACCGCTGGACTTCATAATCCTGAGTGTCCAGGCAGACAACCCAAGCACAAGTCAAACCATTTAAATAAGAAGAAACTCTGAAGTCTGATGCAGAAAGCCAAGAGAAACAGATTTAGTTACAGGACGATATTCTGATTGTCCGTCAGACGGGAGCCAGGCTGCTTGTAGTTTGACAGGGCTGCAGATGTCAACAGGTCCAGTCAACACGTCGAGGTCTCAAGGGTGTCTGGGAAGGAATGGCGCTAACTGAATAAACACATGTCGACTTAGTAAGTAAACACACACAGATTATTAATTTAAAAACCTTTAAGAATCATAGATTTTATTCATTAAAATCAGTTTTGCTGATTGAGATCACCTCCCCAAAGGAGGTTGATACGTTTAAATTGTGTGTTTCTTAGCAGGAATCT